ATTTTGGCCACATCTTTATTAATATTTATAATCAGAATAAAAGGAAGACTTTTTAAATTCAGATAGTGGAGAATATGGGGTTGCCAGAGGTGACTACTACTGTAGTCTTTCACTTTTCCCCTAATTTAGAATATCTCTATAGTTTTTATTTAATATCTCTGATAAAAAGAATCTGAATTATTATTGATAGGTTAAGAATAATAAAAATATGATCTCACCTATAAGTGGAACCTAACCAACAATACAAAGATGCAAGGAAAATAAGACCAGCAACACTGAAAGGAAAAGAAATCAACAGAGACCAGAGGGAAGGGGGGGCGGGGAAAAGGAAGGGAAGGGGAAAGTCAAGGAACATATAGCAAGGACTCATGGACAAAACCAAAGGGGAAGAGCTGAGGGAGGGAAGGTGGGAGGGGGCAAGGGAAAGTGGTGAGGGGAAGGCAGAGACAAATGTATTTGAAAAAATAAATTAAAATAAAATTTAAAAAAATAAATTAAAAAAAAAAAAAGGAACATGTATAAAGTACCCATGGACCAAACCAAAGGGGCCTAGGATCCAGGGCGGGAGGTGGAGGTGGGTGGGGCAGGGGAAGTGGTGGCAGGATAATGGAGACAAATGTACTTGAATAACAATAAAAAACAAAAACAAACATTAAAAAAAAGAAGAATAAAAATAATTTTTAAATTATAAAACTTTACATAGTAGTAATAGAATCTGCAACTAGAAAATTGCTTATGAATGGACTGTGTAACCATGGAAATGCATACCCTTAGCATTGCATGCATCCACCATAAATGTCAGAAAAGTCCTAGGAAAGACAGCATTTAACAGCATTGAGTTAGCATTTTAATCAGAATTAGAGGGATGCTAAAACTTATAACCCTAATAAGATTTACAGAATAAAAAGAAGTGTGATACATGACATACTTAGGTTAGTTTTCCACGAAGATAGAAGAAACAAAGATTTTGTTAGAATTGTGCTTATGAGTGAAGTTAGGAGTAGCTGATTCTTACTGACCACTGCAGACTGAAGAAAAGAGTCCTCAAAAATGTTTGCTTGATTTAGGCTGTACCATTATACTGAGAAGGGGTTGCTGCCCCAAATTTGGATGATTTCTTAAACAACCTGCATGTGTGGCGGTCAGCGACAGCAGTCAGTGAAGGCTGTGTGGGAGGGCCCTTCCGCCTCCTGAGGCTGCATCAAGAGACAACAGCATGGCAGGCAGGGAGCTTGCAGCTCGGGCTTTGGGCTCCCTCATGGCTCAGCCATGTTCTGGCCGTGGAACCTTGGCCAAATTGCTCTCTCTCAGCCTCAACATCCCGAACTACCTAGCACACATAAGTTATATCCCCAGTGGTCTCATGCAATCAAATAAGTAAAACTACATAAATAAAACACTTAACAGAGTGCCCAACACTTAGTAGCTTCTCCAAATGCTTTAGTTCCCTTCCTTGCGAAACAAGCCTGGAGCCAACACTGCCTCATCTCAAGACATCTGGTAGCTCCACAGCCGGTGTCCAGCCTGAGAAGAGCCTGTGACTTTCAGTGATTTTTACTCTCTTTCTTATATTCTATATTTTAAAAGAAGAAGTGAGCCAATATTGGATTTTCTTAATAATTTTAGTATCACTTGATATATTCTCTGTGTTTCATTCATTTATGCCTGGTCTTATAGTAGAAGTTAATGAAAAATTATTCTCAAGAATTATTATTTGTTAGAAAAGCTATAATTTTATATGTTTCATTGCTGAGGGAACTCTGTGATAAAGAGAAATACCAAAAATTTTCTGCAGCAAATCACCAAGAAAAGAGTCAAAAAATAGCTTAAGAAACTCAACAAGAAAGTGGGAAATGGAGCTTTGAAATATCATTTAAAAAGAAATAGGCTGAAATAATTGATGGAGGGTGTCATGATGTGGTAATCAACTGTCCATTCCCACTATTCTTTTCTGTTGTTGCCAAGAATGACATAAAAACCTACCGGCTTAATGTAACCTAAATCCACTTACATGCTTGAGTGTGTATTCAGTGAATGTTTCATTTTTACTGTCTTCATGTCATTTCAAATATTAAATTAATGTTTATCCTTCAATGTGGTTATATTTAGAAATTGAGCTTGAAGTCCAGGCACTTATGCACATATAGTTTCTACAATGTTTTAAGCCAACAACTTCAAAAAAGGCAAAAACCTCTACAGCTGTATTACTGTCCACCCTGCAGAGCTGCTGCTAAGCAAAGTTGTGTCATGTTATGAATTACCAAATCAGTTATCAGTTGGGGTCTGAATTTTAGATGTTATCCCACAAGGTAAATGGACAAGTCAGAAATAACACAGCTTCATTTTAAGATACCAGGTGGAGATGACAATATGATCTGGGGGAAATCTTGCTTTGACGTATGAGTGCATTCACTTGATTTGGCAGCAGTTTTAGACCCTGTATGTGGAACCATGGCGATGTCATTGTGGCGGACCTTCCCGTTCTGTTCTTGGACGGCACCACACTTGTAAAACAGTGAGGTTCTTGGGGTAATAACTCAAAAGCCAAAGGCTGAAAGAAAAAAATTGCAAGCAGGCACTAACATGGGTATCATGACTCTTTTCAGGTAGTAGGTGTAACCTTGAAGAAAAAGTGGCACTGTCTTCAAAAAAGTGACCTGACCCTGGCTTTGGTGGGTTTTTTTGCAAGAAATAAAAAGCACCGCATGTGTTAATTATACATCCTTTCTAGCTGACCACTGCTTTGTTCTAGAGTTCAGCATGAAAGGACTAATTTTTGTTTTGTTTTTTTTTGTTTGTTTTAGTGAAATGGCATGTCCGTTGCTAATTCTAGCTACTATAGTTGCACATGTGAAAAATATCTATATGTAGTTTATGGATTGGTAGCATTTCAAATAAATAGTGTATTGAAATATTGACTTGACATTTTTTGAGATGCTCATCAATTGACACTTTTTTCTTAGCTCAAGATAAGAGTCTGAATTATTATTTTTTTTAAAAATTATACCTTGTAACATTAGATTTGATCTTTTAAGTATGTTAGGGATTTAAATATAAGCATGCCACCTTGTTTATTGCTATCTTATTAGAACTTCTTGGAGCATGGAAAGAATTCTTCACAAATGATTTTGCTCTTTTGAAAAAAATAAGCTGCAAAAATATTTATTAAACTATAATCTGTAAATGAGTGTAGCTATGAAGGTGTACTAAGCTTATAGCATGTAATGTTTCATCTAAACAATTTTTATATTTTGAAAAAAATGTAAAATAGTTTAATAGTGCCATAATAAATCTTTTCCCAGAATTCAGAGTCGTATGCATCTCTCTGTTAGGAAGTTCACACTGCATCATTAAAGAATAAACCTGGGATCATTATGCACCCCAATTTTTTATGTAGTCAGTCACTATTTCCCTTTATTCTTCCAGAAGTCAGTTATTCTAAGGATTCTGGCCCTATAAACTTTTCAGAACATATATGACAGTAACTACTGTTATAGCTGATGAATAAAATCTCTTGTAGTTGATATTCCATCATGGAAATAACACTTTATTATTCAGTAATACTAGTTCTTGAATAAAAAAGCAAAGAAATAAACTTTCAAAATTGTAAAGATATTCACACATTTTAAAATCTAGTAACTATAGAGAAAGTTTTTCTTTGTTTTCATAAACAAAAGCTGCCACTTGTTACCTTTTAGAAAGGAATGCCTGAGAAAATGGACGATGTTTTTCTTCCCAGAATAAACCTGCCTTCTAAATCCTTAAAACCCTGTGCAAGACCATGATGATAATGTAATTCTGTCCTTTTGCATTGCATAGAAAGTATCAAGAGTATTAACCTCTGGAGTTAATATTGACCCTAGCTCTTAATTCCCTTTCGGACAATAGACCCCATATGTCCATTTTTGTTTCTTTGCCTATATAATATCTTTGTATACTACGTTTGTATTTTAGGTAGATTTACAACATGGATATTCATGTGTGCTGTTAGTGTAAAATTATTTTCTCCAGGGAGGCTCTGCCCAGAGACCTAAGAAAAGGCAAGTTTTTTCATTTTAAAGTGTTTAAAGATTATTTAATTTTTACATAGTATGAGATGTTTCTAATTGTGTTGGTAAGGTGTTATCTTATTTCTTCCATTATACCATACCTACTATCAAAAATTTAACAATCTTGTAAACCAAAAAGACAGAAAGCCAGCAAACCCCTTTAAAGTCTATAACTCTGCTTTATGAGACAAAAAAATGTAGGGAGATATATATACCTATATCTATATTTATATCTATGTCTATCAGTCAGTGCCTTAATTATTAATTATTTTATTTACATCTGAATTTACAAAATTCCCCAAGGAGAAGATGTTCTAAAATCCTATTAAAATTCTTTGGTCTCAAAAACAGTGAGAGTTTCAATCATTTTTTCCATACCAGTTCCACAGAATAAGCTGGGTGAATTCCTGTGATATTAGGCCACTGAAGAATTTTGAGAGGTGTTCATGAAACTTTCACTCTTTTTATGCCCAATCCACTAAAAAATGACAGGCTCCAAGGACCATCCACCAAGCCCTTGGTGGGAGTCAGACCCTGACTCTAACCCCTGTCCAGGACTCCTCACTGTCATCCAAAACTTTTAGGAATTCTATAGGAATAATTTATAAATGAACATTAATAGGCAATCCATAATGTTTTTAAATCTATTCTATAAAAATTATGTTCGTGTCATGTAAATTGCCTTAAAATATATTATACATATAAAATACTATGTTAAAATTAAATATAATGTCAGCTGTAAAGGTGAAAAAATAGCTAACTAAAAATTCACAAACAATCTTTTTTCAGATTTTGTGTTTTTTCTCTTCAGCCAAAAGCCTCAAGATTCACTTGCAGCAGCCTACCTCTTCATTTATGTTGGATTGCTCTTTAAACATTAGAATATCTTGTAATAAATAATAAGTTAAAGATTTCTCCTGACACAAGTCATTGTTGATTTCACTGTTATAGGGAAAAGGCTCTAGGGCGGCAGATAAGGCTGTTGCCATGGTGATGAAGGAGATACCGAGGGAGGAGTCTGCTGAAGAAAAGCCCCTCCTTACTATGACTTCACAGGTGGGCAGACCCATAGGGTTCCTGTAGGAAGCTGACATATGTTAATATATCAGACATTGTGATTTTTAACTAGCCAAAAAAAAAACATTTAACTTGAACCAATTTTTTAAAAAGCACAGTTTCAATGAAACAATTATACAATATAAAATGAAAACCAAATTGCTAAAAAAAAAAAAAAAAAAGGAAAATTCCATCATTTAGTTATTTACTTGTGGATGTTAATTTTCTTTACTCAACTTTAGTTAAAAAATGTATGTGCAAGTAAAATATGTTGCTTCTTTATAAAGGAGTCTTGTTAACAACTTTGGGAAATAAATAATTAAGCTAATGATACATTTGAAAAACAACCAAAAAAATCAAATTCCTATGAATAAATACAAGTTATATTGTATACATATGTCAGTTTACCAGTAGAATATCTAAATTTTCTTCAATGTTAAATATATTTATGTTGTGACTATGCATAGTGCATATATGTCTATACATACTTATGTGGATAACTAATTTACAGGAATGAGCCAGAAGTCCCTGAGTCCCCCTGCAGAAAATGGCATCTGTGACCCCTCTGATGCTTAGTGACCTTGACAACAAAAATATCTCTATTACATAAAGCACATGAGGGCCATTTTCAGCATTTATTATAACAAGTATACAAAAAAGTTTGCATTTATATGCAAAGACATGCTGAGACTGTGAATCCTGTATGTCCTCAGGGACTTTTGAAACACCCTGTAAAATCCACATAAATATGTATAATATATTCATCACCACTCTGTGAGACTATCAGTTTTAAATTCTTAAATGAAAAATATTTTTACTTGCATTTATCTTATAATTTAGATTAGATTGTTATCTTAAACATTTCTTTTTTCCATAATGCAGTAGTAAATGCAGTGATTCAGTTCCAATTATATGAACATGTCTAGAATTAGAAAAATGTCCATTTACAGTCCTTATGAAAGGTATTTATATCAAAAGCTAAATTATGGCAACCTATTTTTAGAATATCATCAGATCACATCCCCAGCTGCTGCCAACATGTGTGGTTTAATTTTATTCTAAACACTATGTTGTAAGTAATGAAAATTATAACAACATATAACATCAAAATTGAATATTTAAAGAAGTTATTAATGATTCCCAGGACTGTAGGATAAGTTTTATGTTGTGAGCTTTTTATCCGTGAAGAAGAGATGCTTCCCAGTGACCCCGTAGTAGCTGGAAAGACATTTGCTTGATATTTACCAAGGTCTCCATTCTTTACACAATTTACACAGTAAAACACACACAGTTTTACATTGATCTCTTGCCCTTTGTAGAATCCTTGTTCAAAATATTCAGTCCATACTTTCTCAGAGAAATGCTAAGGAAGGTGAGAACCACTTTGTGAGTTCTCGGCTAAGGACGGAGCCACATATATCAGTAAACAGGACCTACCCAGATGTGCAGTTGGCATTGTTGTGCCACAACGTACCGTTTCAGGGCATAACAATTTAGAACAGACTCTCGTCCCCAAAATTCTTTTTTCTCCAAAACCATGCATTGGTGTGTGCTTCCCAGTAATCCTTTTCAAATGTCCAAAATTATCATTATCACCTAAGCTTGAATTTAAAATTCAATGCAAAATAATATTTTTTATTTTTAATTTAGAAAAAAATGTGATTATTACCATTTTTTCATATTCAGAACATTTGTGTGTACCAAGCTCCTTATTTAATCCCTGTCTAATGTTGCATTAACTGTTTTTGAAGTATTAGTTACAGTTTTATTGCATGAAGATTATATAACGCTTTCTTTGATGCATCATATTCTTGTTGCATACTGGCTAGTTTATGAATCAGCAAACAGTGTTCTGATTCATAAAATGTAATGCACCTGTGTGTTGATAATTTTATGGAATTAATTCAGTGACAGCTGTGATACAATTATTTCTCAGTCAAATGCAGTTTTATTAGTTGATATACTTTTTCCACTGTACACAAGTGGCTTCCTCCCTGCTATGCACCAGTGGCGTGCACAAGCCAAAAAGCAGCAGAGTGATCTGAAAAAGTGAGTACTCCTCATGGCAACCACAGTATCCAGTCTGTGTACCATACCACATTCTTACTCATGATCCTGTGAATGTATTAGTGTCCTGAAACATGTTTGTTCCAGTGTCTTCTGTAAAGCCCCTTATGACATAGTGCTACATACTGCTGAATACATCGACTCATCTTCATCACTAGTATGTCGATGCCAGCTGCTCATTGACAGATTTCAGATATGTCTGAAGCTAATCTCTGCTCTCTCAATAATGTCCCTGGGACAATCACAATGGAAAAAAATACAGAATAAGTCCTTGAAATGCTGAGTTCCTAATTTGTTTAGTAACTGTTTATTCAACAGATTGTAACTGCTAGAAAATTTACATTGAAGCATTTTTTTGTATTGTGTGATTATTACGATCACTTTGAGAGCCAAACATATTCCAGTAGAGTCATTTATAATACATCGAATAAACTGAACAAAACAGAAGAGCTGGCCAGCTGACCTGAACTCAGAGATTGCTGGACCCTTGAGAATTGCTCTTTTTTTGTCTGTGACAACAAAAAATATGTCAAGCACTTCAAAGGAGCTCAAGTTCATGCTAGACTAACACTTTAAGTCAAACAGTATGTAAACAAGTGTGCATTGATGAAAGGATTAAAGGAAAGAAAATAGGGGAATCAGCAAGTCTTTGAAGAAAAAGTTTCTCTAGACCTGTGCCGTCCAATGCAGTAGGTGCTAGCCACATGTGGCTCTTGAATACTTTGTAACTACCCCAAATTGAGATATGCTGTACATATAAAATACATACCAGATTTTGAAGCTTCAGTCCAAAGAAAAAAATAAATAAATGGCACATTAATAATTTTATATTGATTACATCTTGAAATGATAATATTTTGGCTATATTGGGCTAAATAAAATGTATTGTTAAAATTATGTTCACCTGTTTTTTTTCATGTTTTAAAAAAATCACTACTAGAAAGTTTCAACTTACCAGGCTCTCCTTATATTCCTATTGGACAGCACTGCTCTAGACTGTAATCGTATGAATAAATCCAGTTTGAGGGTAGTAGAAAAAACTATGTACCAAAGATTTATTATATTGTAGAAAGTGTACTCTTTATGAAAATGAAATTAGCGAATATTTTTCTCTCATAAGGAACCATAAGAAATTTTCATTTTAACCGTATTTCCTGGGGTTTGTTTTTTAGGGGTTTTTTTGTTTTTTGGGGTTTTTTTGCAAGGTAGATCCCGTTCACTTTTTGCTATAGAGCACAGTGTCTTAAAACTATGTGTTTCACATCTCTTATTGTTAAGGATTTTTTTTTTTTTTTTTTTTTTTGCAAAATCGACCTTTGTTTTTCTATCTGTCCCTAGTCCTTAAACCTCCATATTGGTTTAATTGTTTATGACTGATAAAAATAAAAAGAGTAATGTCCTTGACTGGAAAGACATTCTCAGGGCTACTAAATATATCCTTCTATTACTAACTTGAAGCAATTGCTATAATTATGTTCTCCTGCCTGTCCTAGTGTTAGTACTACCCAGGTGTAAACAGTAATATCTGTTCATTTTCCCATGACTAAATTCACACTTATAAATCTAACTATCATGTCAGGGAAATATTTGTAGTCAGCTGAGATTTAGATCAAGTCAAAGAGATAAAAGTTATCCCATGGTTATCCTTTACAAGAAGATCTGCTGGGACCCATATACTGTATAAAAAGTGAGTGAGGGGTAGAACCATTAGTACTATTAGCTCATAAGAAATTAATTCTCTATGGTGTCAGAGTTAGCAAGACAAAGCTACCAAAGTCTGAACACTTAAGAGATTTATGATAATAATTTAGTTGTCTTGTCTTTTCAATGGGTTTAGTCAGTTAACTTAGTTTTGATATGGTCACAATTTTCATGGGTACTGCACAAATTTCTAAGTTTCAATAAGGCTAATAAAGTCATAAACAACTAGTTCAACTACAAAATTATGAATGAAACCTACTTAACAAATGACACATGCTTTGAACAAGTGTCACAAATAATAAAGGCATTTTCAAAATGCATCAAGATATACCTATTAAAAGCATACTTGTTTTTATTTACATAGAAATAAAAACAATCTTAAATTTTTTCTATTATTTAAATGATACAAAAGATATGGTATATTATTACAAATTTTTTAAATCAATATTACAAATATGGGATATTTTCAGCTGTTTTTTAACTTGTTAACATCAATGTTTGAACTTAAAATTATTCTTTAAGTACTAAAATGTTTAAAAATAAAAACAGAATATTTTAAAATAACAGTCTGAGATCATCAATCTGAAGTATAAAGTTATGGAATAGTGAATTATTATCTTTTACAGACTTTGTTTTATCATCTAAAATGTATTTTGGTTAGAATTTAATTTGTAATGATGTAAGTTACCACAGACATTTAGATGTAAATTTTTTGGTGAAACACCGAAGCAATATATTGGTTAAAGACAAATAAGCTTAGATTTAAATCACAAAACAAGGTATAGAAACGTATTCTGGAGCTTAAGTAACAAGCAGTATTTAAAGGCAAAATACTGTCCTTTTATCTTGGTTAAATATTCCCCAGTAGCTTAGATCATATAATAATTTCATTTTTTTAACACTGAAATTAGAGAAATTCACACTGAACTAAGACGAATGCATTTTTAGACAGTTTTAAAACAGATCATAACTCATTAAGGTTGGATGATACTGTAAAACACAGTAGCGATATAAAATAAGAACCAGTTTGGTCCTGTGGTGGCTAACATTAGCCGTGTCAACTAACCCAGTCTATGTCATAAGTAAATTGAAGTCATTTAACTGGATATTTCATTCATGACCTGTGGTAACCAAGAAAGTGTAAGGCTCAATGGTCTTTTGGATTCTGAATGACAAGAAGCCCCTTCATGCAAGTTCTCACCGATCTTCTAACTTTTGCTGTTTCCTTTTGTTTCCATGTCCATTGACCATGTAGGGTTTTCCCTCAAATTCTCCAAATTTGAATTTCTGATTTTAAATCCCTGAGTGAGGTAGTAGCATTATGTCTTGAATTGTCACGGGCCTCCTGTCTGCACTGGCCTGTGTCCTTCTTCCAAGGATGACGTGGAGCAGGCCTGTGCCTTTGGTTCCATTTTTCTCCTTAGGCATTTATTCTTTCCATTCCTGCCTTTTTTGATAGAAGCCTTGCATTTGGAAATGTTCCTTCAGGAAACTCTAGGTTTGCAAACATTTCAATGATGTGACAAGGGTGAGGGGCATAGAGGGGGAGTGGACCTAGATTTGTGGTCAGGAAGTTGGTAAACATACCTGAGGCCCCCTTCCTCTCTGTGAGTTGATCAAGCCCAGTATGAAATTGAGGATACCCATGTAATCATTCTTTTGTACAATTCACCATTCAGATAGACTGTATAAAATCAGTCAACATTTATTAAACTGCTATTATGAGACACAAACATTAAGCAGAAAAGGTCTCAACTCACAAAGAGGTCACAGTCTAGTGAGAGGAAAACAGGTAAAACTGGGTGAAGAATGGGAACGTGGAGACGCTGTAAGAAGGCACACGCTGCCAGTCACCAGACGTTCCCGATGTGTAATTGAGTGGGATCCTGGAAGAGAAATAAACATCTGTCACCATTAAAAAGGCCTTTGAACTCATCTGAACATTGAGAAGAGAACCAAAGGAAGATAAGAAATAAAAATTTTAAATATAAACAAAGTGAGACATACGTCTTGGCAACTAATGTAATGGATCACTTTAACTCGGTATGGTAGTCAGATTGGACAAAAATTGCAATCATTCCAACTCAGTTATTCAAAAAAATAAAATAAAATTGGAAACCTTTTGATTCACCTTTTATTATTTTTATAACATTAATGTACTCTGTACCCAAAGGATGAAATGTTGTAAGTTCATAAAGTATTTTCAAACTGAAGCAAATAATTCTATCAATGAATGAGAGAATACATGGAAATAAAGCTTAGGGGAACTATTTGGGGGATTCAGTTTAGTTTGCAATTTTCCTTTATGACCTAAAAGATTTACTTATTCTCAAGTCACCATAGGAAAACCATGAACTTGTTTGAAAATGTGGAAGGGGAGGCCATGTGAAAAGCTATTCTTACCTATACAAATAAAAATAAAATGGGACTTAGTATGGTTAAAAAATGATTTTGAAGTTCACTCGACTGAAGACACAGTTCAAAATTGGACTGTTTAAGATAGACCTTTTTATATCTTCAGTTTCTGCAAAGTCACTGTCCCATCTGGTGGCCATTTATTGAGCCCTCTTTATATGAAGACATTCTATTCGGAACTGTGAAGAATATAAACATAAATATAAATATAAATGAGTAGGCCATAGCCCCTGATCTCAGAGCTTATAAAAAAGATTTCTTTATGGTATCTCCTGTTTTATCTTCCACATCTCAATCAAAACTAAAAAACTTTCAGTTCCCAAATTACCTTTCCACACTATCTGAAATCTGGCCCTTTATCTTCATTTCTGAGCCTGGCTACTATCCCCGACTCCAATTCCAGCATTTCAAAAGAGCTAGAATACGCTTCAACTTGAAAAACACTAACTCAGAAAGTAGTATGTCTTCTGATTTGTATCTATGGCAGAGAGCCACAGGAACAGCTAAATTCAAGGGAATTGGGCAGCTCTAACAACTCCATCAGTCCAGATATGAAATGTCGTCAGAAACAAGACAGTAGGTGTGGAAGAGACGCAGACCTTACAAGGCAGAGGATGGGGGGAAGACTGGAGAAACCAAGCCTTATCCTGGACTCCCTAGGGTCTCTCTGAACAACGTCCTCTTCGGCTGAGAAAATCTGAGAATGCTAGAGGTGCTTTCTCTGCAAAATTAGTCTTAAGTGTAAAAGAGGAGAGAGACTAAAAAAAAATCCTATTATCTTTGATAAAGCAGACTTGCGTAAAAGGACAGACCTCTCAATTAATTGTGCTTTTTCCTTTGTTTTTCCATTTAGATATTTATATGGACAAAGGTCTTATTTTCTAGAATTCTTTTTATCAAATTTAGACTATTATTTTTCAGTGCCTACAACTAAAAGTATGTACAGAAATCTAACACCCTGACCTTCTAAAACTATAGGTAATTTATGTGTATTCCACAAAGGAATTTAATTGTATCCAAAGTAAAAAAAAGTATATGGGGACCTTTGTGGACTATAACTTATATGTATCTTTATATAATAATTTATCTTGAATCATGACTAAGAGAATAAATTATTTTAGTTATCTACCAATATCATCAGTCTTCTTCAGAGAAATGTTTATCAAAGAAATAGTTTTGACGTTGCGCATACATATATATAACTTTTAAAGTTGCAGTAGTATTGATTATATTTACTCTTTGCACATTTTGTACTTTAACCAATAGATCTATGAGACCTAGAACCAGAGACCAAGTAATCAGAACACACTGCTGAGTCAATGCAGGCCTATTACACTAACTTGTATGAATACAGCTTGGTACCATATTTGATGATGACCTTCACCCTCCATGAATGTTTATAGCACAGCAGGACCCAAGTCTCATTTGACATGAGAATAACACAGCTGATAAATAAGCACTGTGGCTAACTCAGGACTACCACTCACTCCGGTGATACCACACTACATGGGTTCATTACTCTAAGCCCACATGGATAAAAGGGCAAATGCTACCAAGAAATACATGTTACCATACATGCCCTTTGGAAGCTCTTGCATACACAAACAAACTGAAATGAAATACAAGCCCTAGAAAACTAATCACGTTTTCAGAAAAAGTATATGGGAAGTTTTATAGACTTGAAAGAACTCACAGAATCACTGATGTTTAATCATTTCTTCACTTTCTAGTATATTATGTTCTATGTCAGTGCTTTCAACTACATTTCCAGATAATAAAATTGACTTTTATGCCAGAAAATATTATAAATTACTCCTAAATTCAAATAAACCATGGCATTTACAAAAATTCAAATATATTTTATCCCAGAAACATGAAAGGCTTATAGCCCCTCAACATTAAAAAATATTTCAATATAAATAAGACGGATGATACCTAAGACTATGCAAATTCAGAAAACAAAATTTAAAGGCACTCAAAGTTTCACTCATCGGTTAAAGGAGCATCCCCCCAAAAAAGGTTAAGACCAACACAGACCTTGGATAATTTGATTTCCAGAAAAATCCATGAGTCTTTAGACATAGTAACACTAAACTTATAATAACTGAAGAAATTTCTATCACTGTAACTTGAACATTAACAAGAAATGAGAGTTCTCAGGCCTTACTACTTGATAATGTCTGCATATGGATACGCGTGAAAATCAAATTGCCAACTCTACATCAAAATCTTAAACTCCAGTGAAGACCTGAGAGTTACCCGTCTTTAGATCATAGGATGAACAGGAAAAAGTACCAGATGTGCCTCTTGGTTTTCGGTCCCCAAATGATCACTAAATGTGTCCATATTCCTCTTTCAGTAATAACAATAGCATCACATTTTTTTCTTCTTACATTTACCATCATTTGTAGGTCTCTTGCCATCTTCCATAAGCTCTAAGCTCTATAATACCACTGAAACTGTGTTAAAGAAATAATGAAGTGAAAGTGAGTAGAGCCACATAAAATATTATGATTTGGTAATATTCCCAAACACTTCACTTGTTATTTTCTATGTCTCTTAAAATACAGCCTTGCAAATAAATATTTTAAAAATCTAGATATTTTAGACATAACTTTTTTTATAATATGTGTACAATTAGATGGCTATGCCTATTTTAAGAAAGACCAACATAAAAATCTCCTGAAAAACTAAGAGGGTTAATTTAGGGATTAACCACTTTTGCATCATAAGTATTATTTTTTTCTCTTAACCACAGAAACAGAACCTAACGAAGTCTGGATTCAAGAGGTGCAGAAGAACTGATAGTAAATAGATGGCTGCCATTGATAAATAGAGACCTACGAAAAATCAAACTGAAAGGTTTCTGAAATTAGAGAATAAGCCAGTGGGAAAATATAACTGAATTCACAGAAATCTGCTTTACTTATGGATTTCCACAGACATAGCTACTGTACATGTAGTTAATACGACAGAACAGTTAATACAACAATATTTTGTACTTTTTCTAAATACTTGTTACGCATTACAGAAGCATTCCAAGAAAATATAAAGAAGGGGCTGTGCCAGTCGGTGACTTGAGCTCTTTAAGGGGGAGGAGGAACATGCCCACACACAGAGCTGTGCGTGTGCTGTTACCTCAGATCACTGACTGAGCAGTCGTAACCAGAATGTGTCACTTCAAAATCTGGAGCCACTCTCCCAGGTCTCAATAGGAGCTTATTGTCCAAGAGTGGGGCTGGCTCTTAGAACAGTGATGCAACAGTTATCATTTTCTTCATATTGAAATTAGATAATAATTCTAAAACTGTTCTAGGAGAAGGAACAAAGGCTTGAGCTTTAAAAATTGAAGCTGGCTGCATCAAAATGTTGACAGCGCTAAAAGGCTCGTTCCCCATCCCTTGGTATTTTTTTCTTTCTCATCCCTACCCCATTATTTCTTGGTTTATTTATTTTTTGGTAGGCTTGCTATTCTCATTTTGTTGCAAGGCTGCATTTTAACTTGTCTGATTTTGCAGTTTAACATGCCCTTTGACACCTGTGTTCATTTGTTCTCAGCTGGTGAATGAACAGCAAGAAAGCAGACCCCTCCTGAGTCCCTCCATCGATGACTTTCTCTGTGAAACCAAATCGGAGGCAATAGCAAGGCCAGTAACGTCCAACACAGCTGGTAATTCTTTCACTTTTAACTGATTCTCAAGTAGAGTTAATTTTCACTGTAGTAAAATGGACATTTCCTTTCCATAATTCATTTTAAGCAGAGAATAATGTTCGCAACCAACTTAAACTTTAGAACATACACTGTTCACCCTAAGCCAATACATCACTTTTCAGTATACTGTAAAAAACTGTGATAAAGAGTATGCAACCAAATTTGCTGAACATTAGCATGCCACTATTAACAATGAATCATTTTTCTATGCATATATTTTCATATTTACATCTTATCTCAAGTCGCATCACGTTAGGAAATCTTTAAAACAAAAGCATTTATTTCAAAGTAATGTTTTCCAAGTTCTGGCTGGAAACTTTTTGTATGACAAAAGTCAAGTAAAATAAAAATTCAGGCAGCCCCTTCAAGTGGATTGAAATGACAATTAAATGTCCTAGAGACTTGGGATACTGTAGAGCAAATTTCATTTTCACTTCATGTAAATGAGTCACTCACTCCCTCTTACAAAAATTTATTTGAACATTGTTCTTGAAATTAAGCACACTCAAATAGTAAACAGTCATCTAATAGGCACTAACAAGTATTCATCCAATGAGGAATGTAGGATGCCACAGGTATGAGCCACACCTCAAGTATACTTTGCACTTTCTAATTCTCATAGATACTAAAACTAAGTCACTTAGGTAGGACCCACCTTGAGGGAACGACATAAGATTTGCCTCAAAAGCTAATTTTCCCCTTCCATATCAGAGGTAACCTTTCTGCATTGATTTCATTCAGTCGGCATTTGTATTCAAAGGCTTGTTGTTCAAGTAGGAATGAAAAAATGATGTTCAGAATCAGAGATCAAAGGTTATGTTGGATTGCAGGAGAGATTTAATGGAAAAAGGATATGGTAATTACATACTGTCCCGTTAAATTTATTCCATTTCCCCATCATGTCCTCAGCTTGCTGTTGCCTGGAGTATTTTCATTATAAGTAAGTGAAGAAAATCACAGGTGAAGGAAATTATGATTTTTTAAAAATGCTAAAAATTATAACTACAAGAGTAATTAACATAAGAGAGAGGCACTTCATGTGGGAGTATAGTCTATAGACTCTGAGGTCAAAGTTCATGATTTCAAACCTTAGCTCTGCCACTTAGCAGCTATGTCTTTAGACAAGTTGCTTAACTAAAGTAAGTCTGTTTCCTAATCTATCTAGTAATAGTAAGATCTAGATCTAATAGGTTACTTGGGAAAATTAAAGGAAGCAACCTAGGTAAGTACTTAACACCATTTGAGCTCTAATAGGTATTACCATTCTTGTTAGCTAAAAGTTAAAAACAGTATACTCAAAACAGTATACTTCCCTTTTCAAATGCATTAGCTTTTTGTACATCACAGCAAAGCAATCATTTTCTAAACTCAGCTATCAATTTGAGTAATCAAGCAAATAAAATTGTGCTTGTTACATTTTAGCCAGGAAATTAAGTAAATTCACATGCTATCAGATCAGATTAATCCTCCTTATCTATGAAACCAGATTTCTCCCCTCTGAAACTGAAAAGCTAACCTCAGAAGAAAACAGAGGAGCCTTGAGTTTCTAATTGCAGGAAAATCCAAGAGAATTGGGTGCGCTGAGAAGTCCCGCTACTCTCAGAAAGCTGTCAAGCATAGAATTCTTGGATCTTGATTCCAGTACCCCTACACTTTCCAGTTCTAACTGATGCTAAAGCGAAGTTATTTAGGGAGAGCCCACCAGAAAGAACAACATGATATTTGACTCAAAAGCTACTTTCACCTTGTTTTTTTTAACATATAAAAGAGAGGTATGTGAAATATTGGAGGGAAAAAAATACCAAAAGAATGTGTAATTTCTTGTAATACCAAAACCTATAGTATTGCCTCTGTATCAATTTCCTAGGCCTGCCGTGGCAAAATATTGCAAACTACATAGATGAAACAACAGAAATTTATTGTCTCACAATTCTGGAACCTAGAAGTGCAAAATCAAAGTCAGTAGGGCCATTCTCCCTCTGAAGGTGCTTGGGAAGGATCTATTCTAGTCCTCTCTCTTTGTTTCTGGTAGTTCCTCAACTTGTGGCAGCATAACTCCAATCTTCACCTGACAGTCTTCCTGTGTTTATGTCTCTCTGTGTCCAAATTTCCCCTTCTTGTAAGGGTACCAGTAGGTAGGCCTCCTTCTCCAGTATGACTCATCTCAACTACCTCTGCAATGACCCTGTTTCCAAAGTCACATTCTGAGGTACAGGGAGTTAGGACTTCAATAGATGAGTTTTTTTGAGGGAGGATATAATTCAATCCCTAACACCCTTCAAAGTAAGGGGTCAGGAAAAGTGGTATTTTGAGACTGTATTTTTCTTTTCTCAGCCTCAGATTCAATACTCTGGTTCACACAGATTTTTATCCTGAAGGAAGATACTTGTTTGATAGTGGTTTTTTAATCTTAAAAGTATATCTTAGGGCAGAAACACTATATAATTTTTTAATTCTCACCAGAAGATATGTTTATTGATTTTTCAGAGAGAGAAACATCAATTGTTTGCCTTCTGTATGCGCTGCAAGTAGGGATCAAACCCGCATACTTTTGATGTATGGGAGGACACTCCAGCCCCCTGAGCCACCCTGCCAGGGCAACACCATATGCTTTAATACCTAAGAAATAGAGTTTTTTTTTAATTATTACAAAACCCACAATTCATATCTCAATATGCAACATAATTCACATTACACATCTTTCAAAAGGAAGCATTTTAGCATTCAAACACCTTGGAAAGAATTCTAATTTGTTCCAGTAATTTTATAGTTAAAGTTCCTAGGAAAGAGGATCATTTACTATCCAAATTTTTAATGAAAATAGTAATTTTTAAATGAAACACTGTGATATTATAGAGTAGTGTGAATTTACATTGAGAAGTCAGAATAGTCATTGAACATTATCTATGACGCTCCAGGCATCACATATATCTTCATTCTTAAAATGGATGTTAAACAATCTTGGGCTAAATTATGGAAGAAATCCTGCTTCAGGTTTGTACCAAGTCAATCAGGCTGAAATTTGAAGAACCTTATGTTAAGATGAGAGGCATTTATACTGGGTGTTTTCTTCTAGTGAAAAATTAAAGTCAGTTTGCCACCATCTTGACATTTACCTAAATGTTTAAGGAATATAGTTTTATATAAATTAACACATAGGAAATATTTATCTCTCCGAAAGATGAGCTAAATGATGAGTTTTTATTTCAACTAAGCATAAAAGAACATATCAATCTTCCACCTCTTAGGAATTTTAAATTATCATTTTTCTCTTCAGTATTTCAATTATCTTTTTTACTTTCTGCTTGTTTTTTCTGCACTAGAAAAAACTTCTTGTCATCCAATGATGATGACTTCAAGTTGGTCTCTTTTTTTTTGCTATAGCCTAAATTATCTTCAATTCATTTGTAATCTAGTATATAGCTAATTCATTGACCTTTTCACACTGTATCTGTACGTGGTAGGTAGGCTAATATCATTGCTAATATCCTGGATTTTAAAAAGGTAAATAAATATATATTATACACAGATGCATATATCAAATGTTTTGAAGGTAACAACTCAACAGATATTGTAAGATAGTGATTATATTATAGGACAAATAATTACTATAAAACTTGCAATAACTTGTCGTCTGTATTCTCCAAAAACAATCTAATAAATGTCAGAGTACAGGAAAGGCTCTTTTCTAAAACACAAGAAAAATAAGGTTTCTTGGTTTGCATTTACAAATCTACATAATCTAAAAGAAGCGTATCCATAAATCTGAGCCAGTAGGTGGACAGTTACTATTTAAACATTTTACGTGGCTCTTGATATGGGACCAGTATACAGTACCTATATAAGAGATCCCTGTATATAAGGGAAGAGATATTCTTAATAAAGTTCACAGTTCCACCACCGCCACCTAATTAAATATCTTAACTGCAAAATTAGTATAATATTTGCAAAATGCATATTTATGAAGCCCAAGTAGCCATGAGCCAAATGGCATGTGTCTAGTGAAAATTCAGAAATGTGGGAAGTAGCATTAATTACATATTCCAATAAAAAGGCAAAAGTTGGTTGAATTATTTAAGTCTAATTTATCTATTTCACATCACTGGAAAAATCCTTCCTGAAAGGACTTGGCTTTGAAGCCACTCCATTGAAGAATACCATGTGTTCTGGAATGCCAGGGTAGCTTAGAAAATGAAACTGAGATCCTGTCAGCTCCTCGCAGCACAGTCTGTGACTGTGCCAGGCAGGGTTGTCCCAGGATTCACCCACTGCCCAGAGATTTATTCCTTTTGAGAAATTCGCTAAAAATCTGAGGCTCGTTATACTGTGGTGGTGTCCATAGCATTGCGTTTTCCTCCAAAGTATCAAATCAGGGCTTCATTATAGGTGCTATTTTATTCTGTTTTAAGCAGCCTCGCCCCCGGGGCCCTAGGAATCCAGAATGCATAAACATCTTCAGTGCCCGCAGGGAGCCCGGCAGTTCCGTAGGGTGTGATCCTCAATCAGGCATCCTTGAAATAGATGGAAACAAATACTTGTGTATTCTATCTTCAGGAAATTTCACCCAATGAAAACAGGTTATTGAAAACAAAGTTTCTGAAATCTCCAGGTACTTAAGTTACGCCTCAGATGGCCCAACCTGCCAAATAATTGGGACCTAAACAAAAAGTAATCAAAGCCACATCAGTAGAGTCAGCTCATTGCCACCAGGTTCAGATAAAGCCTAGAAGGGAGTGGAGAAGAACACACACTTGGGAGGGACGGGACCTCCGGTTGAATCCTCATGCGCAATGTCCTACCAGGTGTGTTAGTTTCTTGTTGCTGCTGTAACAAATTACCACAAGTTTAGTTGCTTGAGACAACACAAATTTATTATCCTACGATCCTGGAAGCCAGCAAGCCTAAAACCAAGGTGTTGACAGAGCTGCATTCCTCCTGGAAACTCTAAAGGAAAATTCATTTCCTTGCCTTTTCCAGGCTTCTGTAGGGTATCTAGAATTCCTTTGCTTGTGTCCCTTCCTCCATCTCCAAAGAAGCCAATAGCATAACCTCTCTCTCCCTTTCTCTCTCTCTCTCCCACCCCTTCTCATACACACATACACACATACACACACACCACTTGCACACATAGGTTTTCACACTCCACTGGAAGAAGTGGTTATCTTAATGAAAACACACAGATTCTGGAACCCAAACCTTCCTATGCCTAAGAGAATCTTTTAAATTGGGTTAAGAACATCAGCAGAGCAGACACCCTTGTCTGTGCCAAGGGATGTTATCTTCGAAGCCCACATGGAACAGGGAGACCCCTTATTTTTAAGTCTCAAGTACACGCACACGCATGCACTAAAATGTGATTTGTCTTCCTCCAAAAAGGAAAAGGCTACACCCATCCTTCTATGTTTTTGAAATTGTGTTCCCTGGGGATTCTCCAACTTCAGATCTGTCTATACAACCTTCAAGCCACCCCGCTTCATCACCTGGGTAACAAATAAGGCCTTTTGTGTGTGCCAAGCATGTGTTTCACATTTGCTGGGAAAAGAACAAAGGAACGAGAGCTCAGAACAAACACAGGAAGTACTGAGGGCAGTGTGGAGGGGAAAAGAATGTTACGGAGCCAAGTTTGAATCCACAATTCACTCTTTTAGTAATTCATTTATTCTGAATGGTGAGAAGCAGATATAGAATTAAATTAATACTCACCTGTTATTATTTGTAACACACATACTTCCTATATACAAATAGACAAGTTCTATATAACTTGCTTCTAAAAGAAGTATGGGAGCAAGTGACTAATTCCTAATCACAGTGGGCCTAGAATCACTGCTGGTATAGCAGTGGCTGGGAAATTTTTGTTGAAACATTCAAAGGATAGGAAATGTGTGGTGTCCTAGCCTATCTTGGCTGAGTGCCATGTTTAAATTGTAGACATCAAGCCAGGCGGCTTAGCTCTGAAAGCCACTTCCTTCCCCCCACATTCAAGTACTTGTTAGCCACAAAAGTCCTCAGATCTCAAAGCATCTCAGAGCATCTCAGCATTGGAAAGTGGCTCCCATCTCCTCAGGAAGACTCAGGTGAGATAAGCTGGCACTTTCAGGCCATCTTATGATAAATTTACTTTATAGCATCTTCTGTAGAACCAATATCTTTGTCTCATCCTCCGTTTTATTCCCAGTGGTGTTTCCTTTTTCTGTGAGTGTGTGGTGCTGATTCTTGCCTGAAATAGAAAGAACCAAAGATAATAGGAGGAGGTCAACCAAAAGGAAAAGGAAAGAAAAGCATCATGAATTGGCCACCAAAGAAATGAAAATAACATTTATCGAGCACCTATTGTATGCTTGGCATTTTCCACTTTGATTTACAAATCAGAATATTTAATCTCTGTATCATACCTAGAAGATAACCTATTAATTCCACATTTTTCAGAGGAGGAAATTAAAACTCAGAGAGGTCAAGAAACTTACTCCGAGTCACACAGCTAAATATTGGTATAGGTAGATCTTTCCACTTCACCATCAACATGCAACCACTGTGATTTGTAATTGAAATCAGAAGACAAGATCATGGAGAGTAAAGCTTGACACACTATCTTAAGAATCCCATAGGGATGCTTAGCTCACAAGGACAGCGCTGTACTAAAGAAATTCTGGTTGGGAGCTCAGCTGAACCCTGAGTCTGCCTTCAGGGCAAGTGGGAATCAGGTGGAAGAGAGTTGAGACATCAAAAAATCTATTCCTTACTAAAAGGAAAAGGTGGGAGATCAAAGAGAAGGAGTGGTATAGCCGTTGTAGGTGGTGCCAGGGAGGGTTAACGCAAGGAGTTTTGCTGCCACTTTGATGGCTTTTCTAAGGTAGCTGGGTGAAGAGGCCCTGGCCAGAAAGCACCAGGCCAGTTCAGAAGCCAGCCTCCTGCAGTGAGCTAACCAAACACTGGTTACTTGCACTATAAGAGCAAGAAGAATGAAGAGTTTCAAAGCCTGCCCTTTTAATTCCCATTTGCCTGGTTTGCATTTGAACAAATTATTATTTCTGCCTACATTACAGTATTTAATACAATGTAATCAACCTGCTAGGAAGTAAAAGTCTAATGGTTTTTTGATTTGTTACATTGAAATTTAAATTTGCATATTAAGCAGCAAAGGCATTAACATGTGTACCCATTCATCAGCTATGGATTATAAAACACCTTTCTAGTTCAGCCCAAACAGCAAGCCATTTTCTGATTAAGCCGCTTAATTAGATAAAAGATAATTAACAGCATTCCATTATACGATGTTTACTTCAGTGGTTCAAAATTAAAACACAAAGACATTCAGAAACTTTGCCGAATTATCCTCATAACTTTCCCAAACATAACCCTGAAAATGATAGATGGACCCTTCTCAGGAAAAACTGCATTCTAAAATAAACCTCTTTATAAATAAAGCAAAACAGTAAAGTGAATATTACCTGAACTCAGATTCAATTTTATCACTTTAATTTCACTCACACCTTCATCACTGGTGAGGCCGATCTAAGTCCTGCTTGGAGATTTGTACCATGAAAAAAAAAGAACAGGCAGCAAGCTTCCCCGTGTGAATACAAACTGTCCTGACAAATCAATGATGAGCTAACTTAATGTGGTGCATCCAGCCTACACTACAAACACGAATTCCTTCTGCACCCAACTGAAACCTAGTTTTAAAAAATAACTTCAGAGCTCTGTGTGAGCTTATCTTAACCTCTTGGGTCTCTGATAGTCTTGACCGCAGGCTTAGATCTTCTGGACCTCAGTGAGCCGGTCTCGCAAACCCAAACCAAAGTCAAGAGGTTGGAGGCCTCATCGAAAACCTCATCCCTCAAGAAGAAGGCTGACGGATCTGATCTCATCGGTGCGGATGCTGAGCAGAGAGGCCAGCCCCTGCGAGGCCCGGAGACATCATCCTTAGACTTGGGTGAGGCAATAGCTGGTGTCCGTTGTTGCTTGCCCTGCCTTGAGAACAACAAGGAATTCCCCCAAGTGGCATTGACACCATGGGCAGAGGAGTGGAAAAGGTTAATTCCATGTAGAAAACTGGGCAGGATACGCTTCTTTTGCGCTTGGATTAAATGACAGTTGGGAGCTCCACTTTGTATAACTGATGGGGATTCATTCATTTATTTATTGTGTTGTGTTCTTGATAAGTGGCAGGCACCATACTAGTCCCTGGAGTTACAAGTAAAACTCAGACATGAATATTGCTCTTTAGGAGCATTCAGTCTAGAGGAGGAGAGAGCCAGTTGAGAGAGAGAGAGAGAGAGTGAGAGAGAGAGAGAGAGAGAACTCTAACATAAGGTCCAGGGACAGCCACACAGCACAGCAACCTATAAGTGTAAAGGTACATTCGCTACAATACCAGCTCCCATTTATTGATGGTTTATGATGTCCAGGACTGTGTTACATGATTTACATATATTAGCCTTTTGATTCATTCCAGCTCTTTGAAATAAGTGAGAAACCAGGTTTTCAAATTTAAATAACTTGCCCAAGAGCTCAGTTAGTATGAAGAAGAGCTGGAATTTGAGGCTAGCTCTAAGTAACTTCAAACCCCATACTTGTATCCACTGTACATTGTCTTGAAAAAGGAGACTTACCCTCAGCTCAGGAAACCAATCAAATTAAGCTCTCCTTTCTCAGGAGAAATAAAGGTGGTGGGTATTTTAGAAAGTTGAGGGGAACACGTTTTTCTCCAGGCTGTGACTGACTGGTGTGTATGTGCATACACATGTGTGCAGGTAAATACTCATAAAATTAGCGTATTAGTAACTTATCCAAAGGTGGTGAATATTAAAGGGGATATATATGTGAAAACGCTTCTCACTGTGATGTGTACATGTTAGGTTGTCATGAATTAATTTATTCATTTGTTCCGTAAACATTTCTCTGAATACCTACTGTGTTCCATACTATGTGCTAGAAATACAAAGATAAATAATCTTCCACCTTAGTTAAGTTTATATTCTCTTTTAGTAAACTTACAATCTAGTTGGGAGATAGAAAAATGATTAAATGATTATAATGAAATATGCACTACAGTGGTCACCCATATTTGCAGTTTCACTTTCTGAAGTTTCCGTTTCCCATGGTCCAAAAATGTCAAATGGAAAACTTCAGAAATAAACAATTTATAAGCTTTAAATGGTGTGCCAGTCTGAGGAGTATGATGAAGTCTCAAGCTGCCTGGATCCATCCCACCTGCGATGTGAATCATTCCTTTGTCCAGCATCTTAACACTGTATATGCTACTTGCCCACTAGTCACTTAGTAGCTGTCTCAGTTATCAGATTAACTGCTGTGGTATTGCAGTGCTTACTCAGTAATGGCCCCAGAGTGCAAGAGAGTGATGCTGGCAATTTGGATATGCCAAAGAGAATTTCTTAAGGCTTTCCTTTACGTGAAAAGGTGAAAGTTTCAATTTAATAAGGAAAGAAAAAAATCATATGCTGAGGTTGCCAAGTCCTCTGGTAAGAATGAATCTTCTATCAGTAAAATTGCCTAATTCTTAAATTAAACTTTATCTTAGGTGTGATGTATAAGAAAAAACATGATATATATAGGGTTCAGTACCACCCACAATTTCAGGCATCCACTGAGGGTGTTGGAAAGTATCCCTTGCACATAAGGGAGGACGACTCTATATGTTGCCATAAAGGGAAAACTAGCTTGCCTCCTGCAAGACCACCTTCATAGAGCCCCTGACCCAGCCAGAGGATTGTAGAAGGTGTCTTATAGGAAGTACTACATGAGCAGTGTCTTGAGGGATGAGTGGGAAATTTCCAGATGAAAAATATGGACCAGAGAGAGGTGGGGAAGAAGGAACAATGCATCTTCTTGATGCAGAAGAGAAGAAGATTCACACACAAATAGACAAACACAAAAAAATATATATCTTTTCAACCAAATACAAATATGGTAATAGTGTTCAAGTAATGAGAAGTAAGTCTGAGAATCTCTTGGGGTCAAGATAATGGGAGTTCTTGGATCGAATGGGCAGATTGATGGGTTTTCCACATGAGAGTGACATCAGCGGATTTCTACCTTAAAAAACTTGTATCTGGTGGATGATAATAGAAAGGAGTGGGATTAGAAAGACCAATATAGACATCTAAGGTAGTGGCAGAGGGGATAGTTAGAGGAAGACAAATGTAGAAAAAATTAATACAGGTACGTGAACTGAGAAAACGTGTGTTTGCCAGCAAGGAAGACACATAGAATGTGCCAAACTATGTGATGAGGATACAAGAGGGGAAGGAGGGAAGGAGAAAGGCAAGGTGGGACCTATGGGGTTCAGTTTTGAACCTGTTGTACAGGGTGGGGCAAAAGTAAGTTCACAGTTGTTATTATGGAAAATAATAAAATAATTAATAAATAAGAAGAATAAACTCCATGTTTTGCAAACTCACAACTATAAACCTAATTTTTATTTGAGGAAACTGTGGGACTTCTCTGTGGAAATGTCCAATAGACTTTTAAATGTATACATCTAGAACTCAGGGGAGAGAGCTGAGCAGGAAACGGAGATGCGAATGTCTGAAGCCTATAGATAGATATCACATTTATGGATGTAGGTGACATCACCCAAGGACAGGTCACAGAGAAAGGGAGGAGAACCAACACATATTTCAAACCATTTGCATACAAGGATCCCTTCTCTCCTGCCCTACCCCTCTTTGAGGCCTGTCTCTTTGGAGGAAAACTTTCTAACTATCTCCAATACTTCCTCACCATCAATGTGTTCAAGGTTTATTCAATTATACAAATGAATAAGTGAAATTTATACATTTGTATAAAAATACATTATTAAACACATTACACTATAACACACTATACATGTAAAGGAACTTAAGTTTTCTGCTTTTGAGAAAATGTTTACATAAGTTTTAAAAAATATTTAGTTTAAAGAACTTTGGAGGATACTGACTATAAACCTATCTTTTCATAAAGGAAAATAATGGACTCCAAGATTGTTTAAGTGGCTTATTTATAGTCACACACTTGTTAATGAGAGAGGATCCATCCAGACCCTTTATCTGTAAGAATGAAGCCACAGGAGAATATGGTTCTGGCGCTCTCTTGGCTTTCTCCATCACCTCCTTCTCTCCATCCCCCTTATTACTTCCCTCCTTTGGCAAGAAATTAACCAGGCTGTACAAAAGCTGTGAAAGGTGTTCCAGCTTATTCTCACCTCCTTTAACCAGGAGGCTCTTTAAACAGAATTTCTTTCTAGAAACATGCCAGAAGTGCCTCACAACCCCCGTCGTAGGAGATAGAACTCCCTATGCTCATTCCCGTGAGATTCCAGGGACTCCTGCACAGAATTCAGAATGCACATAGCTCTTGAGGTAAATTCAAGTAAAACAATGTGATTGCTTAACTGCAAAAGCAATCTAATTTCTTTAGTAGGTTTCATTTTTATTTAGCTGCACATGTTTTAATTTTCATGTGACCTTAAAAAATGGCCTTGTTTTAAAACATCAGTTGAGTCAAGTTCACTTGTGTAACACTTCTCAGTCTTAATCTCTCTCCATCTCTCTGGTCCTCATATTCTCCCTCTCTCCCTTGACCCCTTCCTGTCTCCTTACTAGACATTCAGACACAACTGGAAAAATGGGATGATGTCAAGTTTCATGGAGATCATAAGAGTCATCCAATGGCAGAGAGAAAATCATGCTCATCTAGAACTGGATCAAAAGAACTGTTGTGGTAAGATATTTTAAATCAGAATAGAACCATTTATGTGTCAATTATATGGGTTTGTCCTCTCATGTGCTGGAATAGCCAATGTGTTAAATCAATCCAAGTACTTGGCGCTATGTATAACCCCTTATGTATCAATGTTAATTATCATGGCTTCTAAAACTAAGTTATTTCATCTAAATTGTCTAAAAAATCAGCCAATAGAGATTCATAATTCAATATTCAATATTTGTTGATAATTTTATGAATGTGTGATTGAGCTGGTCAAAATAGGTACATACATGTGTTTGCATATGTGTGTATTCAGTATATGACATGAATGATAGTTATAGTAAATGTTTCTGGTTACACAGGTAACTTTTTCTGACTTTCTTAATCATCTCTGTCAAATAATATACTATTTATGATCCATGGAAGCCATGGATTAAAAATTTATTTATGTACTACTTATTTATGTACTATTTGTGATCCATGGAGGCCATGAGAAAAATTGGCTTCCTAAATTTTACCATATTTTTTAAGCTTCCTAAAGGACAGCATGTTTTAGTCTTCTATTGCCCCTCACACATCTGCACTCATTATGACATTTTATGTTCTATATCGAGATTAAATCACACCTGAGGGACTTTGTGAGAATCTCTCCTCCCTTCAAGATAATCTTTTTAATAAAGCAGAACTTTTCTGTTACAGAAATGGTATTGCATTCATTTACTTTTTGCACATAATTGGACTGAATTCCAAATCAGAGGTAATAACAGCTAGCACACCAAGACCACTTAAATTCCAAAGATGGTCATTATAATCAAAACATACAAAAGTTATCTTTTTCATCAAAATTCTGGTGAGAGCTTTGTTACCTTGGCTGTCAATGATCCAAGTTACCTCGGTTCCTCAGCTGGGTTTCTAGCTAAATCTGCTTCTCAGTGTTCGTTAGCCGCCTTCATTGATCCCTTGCAGGTCCTCAGAGCACAGGTCTCAGCCGGAGCTGAGCGGCGGGAAAAGTGCGCTGAACTCTGAGTCGGCCGCCGAGTTGGAATTAGTGCCTCCCACACAGGTAACACATCAATTCTTCAATGAGCCCGTCTTTTCTAATAGATGGTTTTTATCTTAAATATTTTATTTAAATTTTCACAGAGTTCTAAGACTGTATTCTATATTTTTAAAGTATTTTTATAGGTTTTTTTTAAGATTTTATTTATTTATCTTTAGAGAGGGAAAGGGAGGGAGAAAGAGCGGGAGAGAAACATCAATGTGTGGTTGCCTCTTGCACACTCTCCAGTGGGGACCTGGCCCACAACCCCCACACGTGCGGTGACTGGGAATCTAACCAGCGACCCTTTGATTCCCAGGGCGGCACTCAATCCACTGAACCACATCAACCAGGGCTGTTTTCTATATTTTGTATTACATGTATTTTCTTACTCAGTATCCGTATCAATGCTTAAACTGCAAAATGTGTTAATTAAATCATGTGTACTCAGCACTTTTTCCTTTTCCAGCATTTACCGTTTCATTATTTTGCAATACAAAATCTGTGCTACTCCATTATTAGCACTATTGATGTAGCAGAAACAAAGAAGAGGAAATTACATCTTGAGTGTTCATTTACATCTATGCCCTGTGGAACAGAGTGCTTATTACGCATCAGACTCCTGACTGTCATGTTAAAATAAATTTCAAAGAAGGAATAAATAATTATAGTATTAACAGTAATGGTGATATTAAGAGCTACTGTTTGTGAGTGTGCCCACTGAGTGTTTGGGACTTTACTATGCGCTTTACAAATGTTATGTCTAATACTGAAATAATCCTGAGGATTATTACTAGCCTCACTTTAAAGGTCCTTTAAAGGGTCTCAGTGAAGTAAAATTCCTTTTCCTGGGCAACCCAACTAATTCCTAGTGGAAGCAGGGTAGGCATCAGACCTGTCTGTCCACGACTTGATTCTCAACTACAGTGTAACCGACTTGGCTATAAATAGTTATCTATCGCTATAAATAGTTATCTATCGCCTATGGTTAAGACAGCCAAGAAGGCCAAAGTCAGTCTCAGTCCTTACATTCACTCAAACACTTTGCAAGGGTACATCTGGAATCTAAAATCACAAAGATCTCTGAAGAAATGTGTCTACATTCATGCACTCTACAATTTAGTTGAAAGTAAATGGTGGAATGAAGTAAGCCAAAAAAATTCTCTTGAGCTTATTGGATGGGGCATTGAAACAAAGAAGAGAAATATATTATCTGAGGTGAAGTAAAGGGATGATTATGATAATAGCAAGTATTATTAAATGCTATGATAAGGCCTTCTAATATATATTAGCTCACTGATCCTGACAAATGGCTCTATGAGTTAATTTATTACCCTCACTTTATAGATGGGGAAACAAAGGCACAGTGAGATTAAGAAAATCGCCTATGCATCCACAACTAGTAAGTGGCAGAGACTAGCTGTCAGACACTAATAGCACCTCCCCCATGCACCTCACCCTCTGCAAGAAAGGGTGGACATTACTGCCCCACAACTCTGCTGGACAACTCAACTAACATCCAGAACAAATAACCCTGGGAAGTTTAATGAACTGCAAATGTAGCATGAAATGTATTTTCTTCCCCTGTGTTCATTCTAAATGTGTCCTTTTTTTAAAGCAAAATGATAACATTGATTAGAGAAACCTTTCTTAATAAAAGCATTAGAAATTTAGACTTGACTAAAGTAATTGGTAGTGTTTTGTGAACTGGAATCCTTGGGACGATTTAAGGTAGAACTAGGATGTTTGTTTCACAAGCAGGGTGAGACGGCTCGGCATGGAACTGGAGGGGGGAAAGATCAGCCAGGGTCTTGGTTGCCATCGAGACCCATGATGCAGTATCTTATTAGTCCAATGACTGCTACTCCCCTGCTGGTTGTCTGATTTCATCCCACCGATGACCCAGCGGTGTGCCTTCAAACAAAAACAATGTGCTTTGGAAAACTTGTATGAGATTCCCAATATGGTCCTCCGAAACAATTTAAAATGCACTGTGCCCTGACCCTTGTAGTTCAGTGGGTTGGGCATCGTCCCACAAAGAGAAAGGTCACCCAGTTCGATTCCTGGTCAGGGCACATGCCTGGGTTGCAGGTGTGTACAAGAAGCAACCAAACGATATTTCTCTCAAACATTGACATTTCTCTCCCTCTCTTTCTTCCCTCCTTCCCTTCTCTTTAAAATTAAATTAATAAAATCTTTTTTAGACAATAAAATAAAGCAAAATGCACTGTGGCAGTTCTCTATCTAGATGAACCATAATGAGTCCTTCTAGAGGGTTACCAATTATTTGTAAAGACTGTAACCCTTCATTTTTTAAAAACACTGCATGCTTACTTATCAAAATTTCCCTTAACTAAGGAAATTGATAATCTTTTAGTTTTAATTCCAGCCTATAATTAAATTAGGAAAATTTCATGAACTTGTGATTTAATAATCTGAAATGCTTTCATTCAAATGGCAAAGGGTAGACTGATTAATCTACATTTAATAAAAAAATGTTTTTACTATTAGAAGCATATTGTTCTTAAATATATGATCTCTTTACATAGATAAAATGATGACGGTAGTATAAACACTCAAAACTGACTTGCAAACTCTTCAGTCAGCAGCTTCAGCTCACCAAAGCTTGTCACTGCTCCACCATCACTCAGATAGTTCACAGGAAAATCAAAGAAATGTTTTCTTCTCTTTCAGGCCAACATAAATTATCCTAGGCTCAACAGGTGAGGAGCTGTTTGCAAGCCTTTTTTAAAAAGCGTATTTCAGGATCAAAGAAAATGGAAGTTCACAATGAGAAGAATTCTTATGTTAGCTCATTTCTTATTAAGACGGAGAAAAGGAAAGACATAGTCTAGTCTCTTCCACATAGTGTTTTGAATACACTAATCAGAGTGGCAAGAGATTATAATAAATTCCATAATATCTATATATTTAAGAATAAAATTTTTGACACAATCAAACTATGTATTCCCTGGAGTTAAATGATTAAAGAAATTATGCAATCTGAAAAATTAGAAAACATTTGAAAAATTGAAGAAAAACACAGAAACTAATGATGTAAAATTAGCTTTTGCCATACATGGGTCGAGAGAGTGATGAAGCAAAGGAAAAATTTCTAACTTCTGCCGGGGACTGATGGCTCAAGCATCTCTTTTCAAGCCTGGGCACCGGAAGGGGAGCTCCAAGACAGGCCCTTCGCCCATCTAGTTGGACTTGACGAGCACGGGCAATGTGCAGCAGCCGGGCTCTCTGATTCTTAGTCACAGTCTTGCAACGCTCTGATTTTGCTGACGTGGCACTGCACGTGATTCCTTCCACGTGGTTATAATTCCACCAAGTTGGCAGTGTCCCAAAACAGAACAATAGAAACTTTAAGATGTAAGTGCACATATATTGTCTAACTTTTTAAAGGAATGATGCAAAGGAAATAAATTTGATAGCTGTCATGTTACACACTTCATGTGTATAATGTGAAATATTTCTAATATATTCTTTGAAATGCTTACAATAATCTTGGAGATTAATATCCCCATTTCTCAGATGACTCATCTTAGAAAACAGAGTGATTTTCCCAAGGTGACCCAGCCAAGGAGAGGAGCCAGTGTTCAGTTCACACCCATCAGCTTCGAAAGCCCTTGTTCTGAACCACATACCACTTTGAATCAGCCACATCGAGCTTACCCACCTGAGAGAATTCCCAGACCATCTGTTTCCATTCCTATTGCAAGCTTGATTGTTATGTTTATAGGGTTAATATGAGTTAAGTGATTTTAAAGGATAGTTATCACTTTCTTCCAGAAACTTTTTAAGATAAATTAGGACTGTCATCTGATCTGAAGCTAAGCACAGTTTTGTGCCTCCCCCTGCCAAATTCATTTTCAAACTCTTACTCTTAGAAATGTTGATGGCTTCCATTCTATTCCATCTTAATTCAACAAATGTGATTGGACGTCTACTCTTCAAAAAGCCATAATGAGGTAGTGAGAAAGTTAGAAAGAGAAGTGTGAATATAGAAAGTACCAAGATCTTTCTGTCTAATAGAAACAGATATTACACTATAAATATAGTTTTGTTTGTTGGAAGATGGTACAGGAGCCACATGCGCATTCCCTTTCCCCGACTGGATATACACAGTGAGATACCAATGAGGAAGGAAGCAAGCAAATGTAGAAGGAAGGAAATAAGGAAAGAAAGGCAAGGATGTGCGGGAAGGCAACAAGGAAAGAAAGAAAGCTGAAAGATCATTTTGAGGCTAGAAGGAAATCTGCACATGGAAGGTATTCAACAAACACTTGTTGAAGTGAAAAATTAGAAGATGCTAACAGAAAGAAGAAACAATACACACTTGTCAAATTTAATAATGTATAAGTAGTGGCTAATGGTTAAAGGTAGAAAAAAATAAAAAGAAAAATTTAATTCTTCGTCATTTTGAAGCTAGTTTTAAAAATACTTTTAGTTATTCATCACAATAGACTCTCCATCTCTTTTCGAAATCAGCAATGGCTTGCCTTAATACAACATAGAATTTCATAGTTGGATGGAGTTGGGAACCATATGCTCTCTCCTAGCACAAAACTCTGAGAATTTGCCCTTTACACTTAAGGTAGAGCTTATTGTGCACCATCAATGATAAATGTATACTGACTGATGAAGAAAAAAAATCTGAGAATCTCAATGAAGCGAGTATTTAAATTATCTCTAGTAGTGTAAGAATCCAACTAATCTTCATTAACCACTGAACAAAAGTGTTCTAAGCACAGATTTTTTAAATATATTTCTAAAGTCACACCTGATAAGTACTAATCAGAAAGATGATTAGAAAAGCCAAGTTTCATTGAGCACTTCTATGTACTGAGCATTTTGTGTGTGTATTTACATGAATTATGGTTTTCGACTCTTGTATTGATTCTATAAATGAATACATGCATTGCCGACTGAGGATTATAGAGTTTAAGTAATTTGTCCAAGGTCACCAGTTGGTAGTAAATGGATTTGGCCCCAGGCATTCTGACTCCAGAGGTTACAGTTTTTCATGACTTTGTTATATTGTCACTTCTGGTCTGCTAACTGTTACATTTTTCTCTTCTACAGTTATGCAGATCCCTTTCCCCTTTCCATTGTTTTTGAAAAGATGCTGAGCTTTTCAAAAACACGTTTTGGTGGGAAATCTTTGGCAGTAACATAAAGGCAATGTATGAGAAGCTATAAATGACTGGCATTGAGATTAGCCAATAAAGCTATGCTAGGACAACCACAGTCACAAATAAGGTCATTTTCAAATCATACTTCTGATCAAAAGCATAATTTTGAATAAGGAAAATAAAACATAGTATTCTTTTTAAAGAGTTAGTTTCTCTCTTCTTTCCCTTCAGCGAGTGTTTATAATTCGGAACAATCAACAGCTGAAGAAACTAATGCTTTCTTCTTTGGAGAGCTCAAGACCCTAAAATTCAATTAGTATAAACCAATTAAAATGCTGTTTTTAAAGCTAAGGCACTTCCAGGAGGTTGCTGTAAATGTGGGGCATTTTTTCAAAATCACGCAAAGAAGAAAAGAAATGTCTGTCAGAGTACATTTATGAACTCCAGAGTCCCACCTGCATGTGCATAATGTCAGTATCTAGACCCAAAGTTCTCACAATGTGGTCCCTCCACCAGCCTCATCAGCATCACCTGGGAACTTGTCAGAAATGCACATTCTGGGGCTTCCCCCCACCTACTGAACCAGATCCCCTCGGGGTAGGACCCAGTAACCTGCGTTTGAGCCAGGCCTCCAGGGGAAGCCGAAGCCCACTAACACTTGAGGACGACAGATAAAAAGAGCTACTGTGCTACCAAAACAGCTCCAGCCCAAACTTGTGGTGTCATAGACTTGTTTACCATTTCTCTGGGTAAATACTAAGCCATAGCTGCAGTTTGCAAGCATTACCTACATATGCTTTACCACATCACAAATTTGCCCATAATCTTTAGTTGCATAATAATCTCAACTTGAAAACGGCTTTTGTTTACATTCAGTATTTACCTGTATTTTATAATGTTTATCTCATTCTTCTCTGGGCAAAACATATGGCTTTCAAAAGTGAGGTAGATACCACTTGTTTAGTAATAATCTAAAGTCTTTATAACAATGTGGAAAATAGCACTTACCTGAGTAGTAATTGTACTAGCAAAATATAATTTTATTGGCACAGTAAGATTCTATTTATACTTGCTGTTTTAACTGGTAAAGAGAATATGAACTATTAAGTCCAGAATCCTGAGAGAGAGGCTTTCCTCTTCTCCCTTTGTCTCCTGTGATCCCTAATCCACTTGGGTCATGAAACATTAATGAAGAGAAGCTGGTGACAGTAATGGAGTCCTGTGAGGTCAGGCTTCACAGGAAAGGCTGCTCATATTTCACTGGTGAAAAGTGCCTCTAATAATAGGAGGTGGCTTGGCACAAAAATATCGGTGCTTTCTTTTTCTTCTCCTATTGCCATTCACAATTCCCTAATGACAATATTATACAAATGCATAAAGTTCATGTGTTACCATGTATCCACAGTTTAAAATTAACTTGTTTGTTTATTTCATTAATGAGGGAACCAGCAGGAAGACAAGATAGTTGGTTCCAAAAGCAAGGGATTAAGGGATGGAGACTTATATAACCAGCTGGAAAAGAAATGCCAAAATAAATTAGTTTGCCAAGTTAGAAACAGGATTTTATAACACTTTACAAGATAAAAATATCCTATCACCTTTGGGGTTAACTTTTCTACTAGGCTATACCACCCTCACAATTTACAAATTTTAAAAGATTATAAACCATTTGCACCTTTATATTTGTTAATCAAACATTGTGACCCAAGAGTGTCAGATAAGCCTTGTAATGGGCTGAATAGTGGGCAGCAAAAAGATATGTCTACAACCCAACCCCCAGAACCTGGGGTAGTTCATTTCATTCTATGTTGGATCCCATTCCCCGCCTTCCTCGAGTGTCTGGTTTAGAAGCAGGTGGAGACTCCACAGGGCCCACAGAAGAAGGGAGGATGCTTGTTCCTGGTGGCCGTTGACCCTGGCCCATCCCAGAGCAAGGCACCGATGCCTGGACTGGCCCACACAGGCCCTCCTCACCCTTCTTCTTATCACCACAGGCCTTGCCTTTAACAGGCACCCCAAAACCAGGACTTTGCTAACACAGGCACCTTTCATTCCAGGCACAGGACAGAAAAAAAAAGAAGGCCCCTCTCAAACTCCTATAAACTCACCTTAGCCTCCTGGATTGGCCAGGAAACGTTGACTGAGAACACATAGTTACCTTCCGGGAGTAGGGGAGAGAAATACATTTAATTAATTCATTTATATGTTCCCTGACAGCATATTTTTCACAAATATTTATTGATGATTTATGAAGCCCCTACTGTTTGCAAGAGATACAAGGGACACAGCAGTAAAGACATCAAGGAGGAGAAAACATGTTTCGGTAAAGAAACCTTCCACCTTCATTAAAACAAAATACAGTCTAAGACTGTTGTGTATGCTCAGGAGGGTCGATAACGATTACTTCATTATTGTTTTCAGTCCACACTCTTCTTGAGGGCTTCTTGGTTGACTCCCTCAACCATGCAAATACCTCTGAGGGACAGCTTTTCTATACTTTGCATCTTCCTTAAATGGCCACTTGAGCACGACCTCCCATGAGAGGCAGCATAGTGCCATGGTTATGGACATGTCCCTAAAGCACCAGCCCTACCACTTCGTAGCCATGAGACTTTGGGCAAGTCCATTGAGCTCTCTGTGCCTCAATGTCATGGACTTGATAATAGTACCTACCTCACAGGTAGTTCAAAAGACAAAATGAGTTACAGTATCTAAAGGACTTAGAGCAGCATCTGACATGTAGAGAGGCCTGGAATTACTATTCTATAATAATAAAAGGGGGCGGGGGGCTTCTTGGGGACCAACGATGGTGCAGAACAATGAAAAGCAGCTGAACTTTATAGGTGGTAAGTGCTGGGTGAAGAACAAAGTTTCGTTACAGACCGGTGGTTTTCAAACATGACTGCTTTTCAAAATCACCAGAGGAATTTTCAAACACTTAATGCCCAGCCCCCTCCACCCTTTGACCCCAGAGATTCTTACTTCATTGGTCTGGGGTGGGACCCAAGCCTGTTCAAGCAATTCCCATAGAAGCCGGGTTTGAGCATTCCTGCAAGAGAGCAATCAAACACACAGGCCAAGGAGCCACCCCCTTCCCAAAATAAAGGGGTTGGGGAACTTCCTGCCACAAGCCTGTCTCCTCCTATTCCCCAAGGCCTAGCTGCCTTATCAGTACAATCCCTCACCCTGCAGACCACCCATCCACAGGCATCCTTAGGGCTCAAATCACTTATCAGGCCCTGGGCTATGTACAGGCAGCACAAAGTTTACCAGACAAAATCTTACCCACATGGATTTCACAGCAGAGTCAGAAGATAGACAAGAAAACAAGTAACTGAATGGAGAAAATTTGGAAACATTCTGAATGCTCATGGAGAGAGTTCTGAACAAACATCAGTACATGGTACTTACTAGGAAATCCCTGGGAAGAGTGAGGTACGAATTGTGGGGACTTTCCAAGATATATTGTTGAGTAGAAAAAAGTAAGCCATAGAATAGCTTATCATTTATGTTTCAAAAAAAATTTTTAAACACATTATGATAATCTATATATGGGTGGATAAATATACATTCAACTGCAAAGAAAATAGTCTAGAGGTGCACCTCTTATTTTCTGTAATTAATTTTTCAAAAGTATTCATTGTCAAATTAAAAATCAACAGCATGCTTAAAAATTCCAGCAGACTCTTTGCTAAGCTGTGTATCACATTGCGTGTGAATTGTGACAAAGCAGTTGGCGTTGTCAGCCATGATTTTATCGCAGTGACATTTAACAGAGGGCATCCTCTTAAGGAAAATGGGACAGACAGCAGGCATGTGCCAATAGAGGGAAGGCAAAGGAAAAAGACACCAGCATAAAGACCTGCTGCATATTTAAAGAGAAAGACCTTGCTGCTACCTTTCACTTCTGCATCTCTCCCAGTTTCCCTTGAAGCTGAGCCTTATAACAAGCTGAAAGCTGGAATATCAGCTTCTAGGTCTGGTCTTCTAATGGAGATTCTCCATTCCAGCTGCATGTTAGAATCATATGGGAGACACAGTAAAATATTAATGCCCAGCACCAAGACTAATTAAAGTAAGATCTTTGGAAGATTCGGCCAGGGTGTTGGTTTCAACATGACCGGGGCTGAGACCCTATCAGAAGAACCGTGCATGCGCGCTCACACACACTTAGGCACCATTCCAGTTTGGGGCAATATCATGCTTGCAAAGTACTCCAAAAATGACATCAGTTGCCGCTTAAACTCTAGGGGAATACGGGAAAAGGAAAACTAATTGTACTTTCATGTTACGTGATTCCAATATTGTAACACCATGTGTCTCACTTATTGCAGGCTCGACTGACCAAAGAGCAGCGCTGGGGAAGTGCATTACTCTCCAGAAACCACTCCTTAGAAGAGGAATTTGAAAGGGCAAAAGCAGCAGTGGAGGTAACTTTTTAAAAACTTTATGTTTCGTGTTTCTGAGAGAGAAATTCAAAAAGTACAATTTCAGCAGGATACACATGAAATGAGTCTTACTTTATAGACATGAAATAACCATGACTACGACTGTTAGAATGAGATCTGATACCAGAGAACGTTTGACTTCCTTCCAGGCGTGACTAATACATGCCCTCTCTTATGCCAAGTCTGTGATAGATTAACAGAGACTGTTTGGAGAACTCTCAGACTCATCCAGGTTCTACGATGAACCTATGCTATGCATTTTCTGTGCCTCTTTGTGAGGCCAAGATTCATACCTGACATTTTTATCTCTCTAGCATATACACAATGTCTGAAACATAGAAGGTCTTGCTGCCCCAGAAACATTATACATTCTCCTAACTGAAAAAGGCATGGCTGAAATATTACAGTCAATGGAGGGCCTATCATGATTCAAGCTATAATTGTATTGCTGTTAACGAGTATTCAAAACAAATGGTAAGATTGTGTGCTTTTTATGGCCAAGTAATATTCCACTGTATATATACAAACCACACCTTCTTTATCCAACCGTCCATTGATGGACACTTAGGTTGTTTCCATATCTTGGCTACTGCAAATAATGTTGCAATAAACATAGGGATGCATATATCTTTTCAAATTGAAAAACAATATTAACAAACAAACAAAAACAAATTCACAGATACAGAAAACTGATGTTTGTCAGGTAGGAGAGGAGTTGGAAGGACGGGTGGAAAGGTGAAGGAATTAAGAAATTCAAATTGGTGGTTACAAAATAGTCATAGGGGTATAAAATGCAGCATAGGGAATGTCGTCAATAATATTGTAATAACTGTGTCCGGTGCCATATGGCTACTAGAATTATGGAGGGATCACCTCATAAGTTATATAGGTATCGAACCACTCTACTGTATACCTGAAACTAATATAACATTGAATGTCAACTGTAATTAAAAAATGAAAGTAAAAATAAGAACATTCCATACAATGACTGTTAATAAATCAAATGAGATACTTAGTTTGAACAATAATTTTCTTCTTTAGCCTTTTAATGAGAAAGAAAGAGAAGGAGGGAGGAGAAGGAAGACAGAAAGGAGGAAGGGAAGCCAAACAAGGCCCTCTTAGCTGGTTTGTCATCCGCTTTCTTCCTGGTCAGAATCACAAGGAGTGCTTCAGAGATGCCATCTGCGACACCTGTCACAGCTTTGCTAGGTCGCTGCTGGAGAGTGGGGCTTTCCCCCGAACCCCAGCAGGAACCTGCCAGAATATCCACTTCTATTACTGATAAGAAATCTTGAAAATTGAAAGTATTCCTGTAATATGGTTCATTTATGTAGCTATCTTACCACTAAAATATGGATGAAATTATTATACTATGAGCAGTGTTTCAGTAACTCCTGCTTGAAGTACAATTAAATCATATTTTCAGTTACATCGTAAAAGGAGTCTTTGTATTCTAGGAAATAATTCCAGCCATAATTTCATATCATCATTCAGAAACCCAGTAAGAGAATACTTTTATCTCATCACAATACAATCTACCCAAATTTATTTTTTTAATTTTAACCTTTTTTATTAAAAAAAAATTAATCTGTACTTAGAGCTCTTGAATGTGATCAACTTATATATTTAATTGAGACCACATTGTCCAACTTCAGGGAGCCCATAGTTCATTTTATCTCAACTATAGATTTCTTTCAGACCTAAGAGCTAATTTAAGTTTATCTTTTGAACTCCTGCTGCATGTAGCACACTGAATTAGCACTAAAAAGAAAATTATTTAAAATCATAACATCTTCGATCAGTAAAGGCAGAATTTATCTGGTCCCATTTACAATGAGAAAGACAATGGGTTCACACTTCAAAGTAACATATCAGGAGGACAAAAATTATCCACCTATTTGTCAATGTGTGTGATATATAGATATAGATAGATATGATATATAGGTATATACTCACAAAGTCATTTCATCTTAGTTTTGTAGAGACCTCAGAAGTCATGTATCCCAACCAGGCTCACAAACCAATTTTTTTGGTTCAACCGAACTTGGCAAGTTATTTATTCCAACATACCCTGTTTCTGCTTGAATGCCTCTAATTAGGGTCGAGTCACTTCTTTTCAAGATAACCTATTTTAGTTTTCAACAGTCCTAACCACTAAAAAGTGCTTCCCTGTATTATGCTGAAATTGGCCTACCAGCAACTTCCAGTTTTGCTTAGTCTTGGCTCTGTCCTCTTTGGAACAAGGCAGAATTAGCTGAATCTCTTTACACGATGCCCACCCACCTCACCCCTCCAAGGCTTACCTTCTCCTGGCTTCTCCTTGTCTCTCCTCGGTTATTATTTCAACTTCTTTCTAATAGCTTCATGTCAACAGCAATATGGGCCTCAGTGTCCACACCTGCATGGTCCTTTCCAGCTACAAAATCCTAGGAGGCTGTAAGTTACTTCACATAGTCATTTATTCCACAAATGTTATTGTCCGTCTGTATGTGCTGACTGCTGAACTAGGTACTAGAGATAATGAGCCAGCCTTAATTAGCTGTCTAACAGTAGCACAGAACCAGAGGACCAATTTGGACAAATCACTTGCTCCCTCTACTTTAGTTTCCTTATCTATAAGATGAGAGAATTGGATTTCTAATAGACTAAAATCCTATAATAGTAAGTACAGGATTTCTAGCAAATCAGAAAATTGTAAGCAAATTTGCTTGGCTGGAAGCCCAGAACGGAGAAGCTTCCCTAAGGAATGAGGGAGGGTGATTGCTGATCAGAAGGTAAGAACAGGTATGAAGGAAGAAGGTAGGGGGTGGGGAGTGTTTCACTAAGCTGATGGGTAATCAGACCACAAAACCATACACGTAAGTGGACTGTTTACTTCCTGACATTATTCTTATCCAGGGATAATCTAAATGCATAGAAGACATAATAAAATGTGTGAGAGTCTTAGAAATATACATACCCTTGACCAGCCACTTCTTGGAATTTGTCTTAGAGAAATAATCGTGAAAATGTATGATATTTTATCTATAGAATTGTTTTAAATAGCAAAAAATTGGAAACAGCCTAAATGTCTCATGATATAGAATTAGCTAAAATATATCTCTACTATCTCTAAAATATGTCTACATTATAAAAAATACATGTCTACAATAAAACTACATTATAGAAAAATATTTAAGATCATGTAAAAATGTCTAGTGACAACTGGAATAATAATTTATATACTGACAGCTTTGAAATATGATCCAAATTTTGTAAAACAAAAATAGCATAATACCTAACAGGTTCAAGTACATACTGTGAGCCAGGCACTAAGTTGGGAGCATTACGCGGATTCTCGTGGAACCCTCACAGCACCCATATGAAGAACGAGATATTACTACTCACTTTGCAGGTGAGAAACTGAGGCTTAAAGAGATTGCAGACAGTTGTATGTCATTTTATAAGCAATCAAGATAGACTGACAAATGAACAGCACTCATTTCACAAGCTACAAAGTCATGATTTTCACCCAGACTCCAGTGCCGTATTCTTAATACTGCACTATACATTAAAGGATAAAGAGAGTGTGTGTTGCAATGGATGGCTGGATTTGAAATATTTTATTTTGCCTCTTAGTTTATTTCTATGTTCCAAAATTTTCCACCATAAACATGTATTATGTCAGTAATCAAGGAAAAAGTGATGAGTTATAGACATTAAAGAAGGATGTAAGATTCTTAAAAGAACTAAAAGTGCCCCATTCTTCATTTTAAAACAAAAAGGAATGGTGCTGCAGATTGGCTTCACCAGAGACTGACAGTTCTAAACAGTAGTTAAGACCAAGATGAAAATCATTTTCTAAACTATATTTTTCCAGAGTCTCCATTTCATATTTTATATCATCTGATTTTGTTATTCTTTGTAGTTCACAGTCTACTCCATTCTTAAATGCTAATTTTTTTAATTTTATTTATTATTTTTTGTCACCGTCCTGCCTAATGACCTGGCAGCTGGTCCCCTGTCCAGCTCCCGCCCCTCGGCGCCCGCTGAGCCCCGGGGCGCTGCCGTCCTCCTCTTCCTCTCGCCCAGCAACCCCATTGCCCACTGTCTCTGCTTTTCCTCGGCAGGAAACACTCTCCCCCATCCTCATGTGGCAGGGTCCTTCTCGTCATTCAAGCTTCAGCTCGTGTGTCAGTGCCTCACAAAAGGTGAACCTGACCACGCCGTTGCGATCACAACATCTACAGCCTTGTTTTTCCTCCTTGTATCTATCACTGGTTTGTTTTATTTGTCTGTTTGTTGTCTTTCTTCTTTAAAATGTACCTCCCGTGAGAAAGGCGTCCTTGTCTCTTATCTACCACTGTACCCCAATATATAGGGCAATGTCTGGTACCTAGTAAGTATTCAGTAAATATTTGTTGAATTAGTGGATGGATAACTGATTTGTTAATCACCTAATGTAGGCAATTGTTTCTACCTTCGCATACAAAGTGCCATATCACCTTTTAATAAAATTTAGCGTTTGTATTTTCATAGCTAATATAAACAAGCAGTTCTGTCTGTGGCACACAGGTTTCTGCCAGGGACTGTGCTGCAGTGTCATCCTCTGTGTTCATGTTGGTCTCAACATCAGTTTCTTACAGAGACACGCCTGTAAGAACGCAGGCAGCACCAAACAATCTTTCTGGGGGGTAGCATTGGGCATGTCTTGTATCTTGCATAGTACAAACCAGTTTTTACTTGTACTAAGTAACACCTGACAACATGTAATCCAACTAATATTTGAGCTAAAATACAGTATCTTCTGCTGGAGAAAAGATGGCTAACACACATGCATATTTATTGCATACCATAAATGACCTGGGAGCTATTTCTGTACAAAGGCTGACATCGCTCAGCTCAAGGTGATCTAGTGAGGCCTTGTGTGGGTGAGGCTTTTTGCCTCCATCTCTTACATTTTATTGAGAAAAAAAAAAATCACTGCAAATTTATCTCCGCTC